ATCTCCCGGCCAAAAAATCGAGGAGCTTTTTCTTTCCCGGCCAAAAAATCGAGGACTCTCGGCCCAAAAACCGAGGAGCCTTTTTCTTTCCAAATCCCGGCCAAAAAACCGAGGATCTCCCGGCCGATCTCAAATGTGAAGCAAACAAGGGTGCAGATTGCTCAAAATCTGATTGAAGTCACCAACTCCGCCGATCCTGTTTTCGACCCAATGCTGCATGAAGAAGTAAACACCTACAACTTGCGAGCATCAAGATTCAGATCGAAGTCCACAGCAAAATCAGCTAAGACTCAAGATCAAGTTTGCAGAGAATCATAGATAGGAATCTTGTAACTCATAGTTGATAGGCATAGCTAGCTTAGCTTTGATTTTCCTTTTGGTGTAATAAGGAGGTCAGCAGGCAGTAGCAGCAGCAACAACAGTGAAATCACAGCTCCTGGTAGTCCCAGCTACCAGACCTTCCAGAACTACACTGACCTGATTCCTTTATAGCCAAGGATATGTAGGCAACCTTTGAAGCAGGGTTTGGTCAGACGGTTTTCAAAATGCTTCTCAGGGAGTGCTGAGCAGGCAAAAATCCTTCATGGTGCTCATTTATCTTTGCCCGAAAATCCTTCGTGTCTTCGAGTAAAGAGGGGCAGCTGTGAGCACGTGATTTTTGCCACACTTAAATTACTCCTATAAAATTCCTTAGAATTAAGATTTTTCTTTTATTATTTGAATTTTAGGAATTAACCGCATGATTTTGTGTCTTGTTTGCATTTTTGTATGCATTTTAATGGATATAATTTTAAAAATACAAAATAGTGTGCAAAAATGGTTCTTAGCATTTCTACTTTCAATTTCTAGAATTTGTCTTAAGTTTTATTTTAAATTAGAAATTAGTTAATTTTGAAAATTAATTAGTATAATTTTAGAGTCAATTTGGGTCTTTTATTTTTGATCTTACAAAAAATAAATAAATAAAATACAAAAAAAAAATACAAAAGAAAAGAAGAGAAAACAAATAAATGAAATTAAAATAAAAAGGGGCAAAGGGCTGGCCATGATGGGCCAACATCAAGCAGCCCAAACAAATCCACCCTCCCCCCATATCCCAAATTCCAGACTCAACCCAGGCCCAATCCCATAAAATACCTGGTCCAGCCCTCTATATACAAATGACGTCGTTTTGGCTCGAGTGATCCAGGCCGTCCATCATCCCCAATCCAACAGTCCAGATTTGTTCCATCATTTTAAATAAAAGTGTAATAACACACTTTACAAATTCAGAGACCAAACCCTCCATCCTCGTACTCATCGTCTCCCACCGCCGCCCACCGTCAGACCACCATGTCTCCGCCGTCCGCCGCCGGCCGGAAATCGCCTCCGCCGGCGGCTAAGCTCCAATCCCTCCCAAAAATACACCATCGACTCGTCTTCCCCTCCTCTTTCCAACCCCCAAAACCATCTCCTTCAATTCATCACCAATCTTTTCGAATTTCAGATCGAAATCTCGGCCAAAATTTTACCTCTTCCAAATCCGACCAAACTTACACCCTACAACCTCCTTGACCTCCTTATTCCGAAACCCAAGCCAAAACCTTTCAAATCTAAGTAAAACTCCACAAATTTCGGATCTAGGGTTGCTTCGAATTTCTGGAGAAAAAGGGATTTCAAATTGGTCCTAAGGTGATGCTATGTGTTTGTTCTTACCAAGAACAAACACATAACATTACTTGGGGGCAAAATTCGAGGAGGGGCCAGTTATTTTAAAATCAGTAAGTTCTTTTAATTTTCTGATTTTTCATTAGTTTAATTTTGTTTAATCTTGATTTGATTTCTGTTTTGTTTCTGTTAGTTTAAGTGTTAGCTTAATTTTGATTAGTTTAAGCGTTTAAGTGTTAGTTTAGTCGGATTTTCTGTTTGTTTTTGATTTTGATATGTTTGCTTCGAATAATGATTGTTTTTCATTATTATTGTTCTGCTTGTGTTTGTTTAGAATGTGATTTCTTATTTTTTTTTAGCTTTGATTAATTAGTGCTTTGCCTTTTTTTCAATTTGGCCTGATTAGATTCCAATTTCTTGCATTTTTATCTTTGTAATCCCTCTGTTTGGGCTTGATTGATACTGGAATTAATTCTCCAGTTAATTGGATTTGTGATGGTTCTTAGTCTAATTGTTAGGTTTTTTAATTGGTAGTGTTGTTATAGCTGATAAATTCAACCATAGTCAACTGAGACTAAGGGCCAGGGTTAGTGTGACCCAGGTTAGTATTTCAGGGTATTTAGGGGTATTTTGGGCACTTAAAATGGGTTAGAATGCTGTAAGCTAAACTAGAACACCCTAGAAGCTTCTAAAATAGGGCCTCAATTGTAGTTTCAGGAACTTAGGGTAATAACTTAGGCAACAAGTCAAAACTTTAGGATTAGTGAATAAAATCTGAAAATAAAAAGGGGGGAAATTGAGTGAAGGAATTCCAGAACCTTCCTGCCCTGTTCCTGTCTATAAAAGGCAGCCTACCTGCCTTCATTTGCAAGTTACACACACCTGAAAAAATTTCCAAAAAAGTTCCAGCTTCTAAAATTCCCCCCAAAATATTTTCTGCAAGTTCTAGCATCTAAAAATTTGAATTTCAAATTCAAATACTAAAAATCTGAACTCAAAAGTTCAAAATTTCATCTCAGATTCAGTTTTTCTTCAGAAAACCAAAAAAAAAAAGAGTAAAAGCAATAGAAACTCCAAAAAACACTGTTATATTGGAATTCCTAGGTCAATCTCAAAATATTTTGGCTGTTAATTCACATCCATAGCATAGGAAGGATAAAAATGGCTTGAAGGTCCTGGTACTTGGCTACTGAAGTCGCAGAAGTAATCCTGGGTTAAATTTCAAGTTTGTTAGGCTCTATCGGGTCTATTTTGGGTTTTTGTTGGTGTTGTTTCTCCTTCATTCATTCCTGGACTTGGTGATGCTGTTTTGGATTCAAAACTGATCCTACATTGTTGATTTCATTGCTGATTCCTGTTGCTGTACTGCTGAGAAATTGCTGACCATACCTTCTTCTCTTGTTTGCTTTAATTCCAGGACACTCCCTGTAGATCTCAAGTGTTGGAAATGAAAGAATGAAATGCTGTTTATTTGCTTTCCCTTGTTCAAACTCATACTATAGTTAGCTAGATTCAGAATTTTACTATATTTTTCGTGCGTAACCAATTAAGGACTGCCTAGAATTATGATGTGGTGACTGTTACGCTAGAGATTCATTCGTCAGTACATTGTGGTTATTTGTATTGGACTGTTGAAACAGGATGGACTTGTAGGAGTATTATAATGTAGTACTAACTGTAATGTAGTAAACGTCAGTCGAGTTACTAGATTAATTCGAGGTTCGAATTTAGATTAGGGTATTATTTGGTTGAAGAAGCTGTGCTTCAGGTTTGTAAATCTGCTATTAGCCATAGTGCATTTAAATCCAGTACAACTACTAGTTCTAGTTGAGTTATAGTAATTGATAAAAAAACAAGTATCAAAATGAGTAAAATTTGTAGTTCAATTTGAATCCCAGTTACAGTAGTTCAGTTTTCACATTTTTATTTTGAATCAAAGTTGCATTTCAGTATAAACACTTTAGTTATCTACTTCTTCGAATATGTGTAGGAATTTGTTAATGAAATTAGAGCAAAATTTAAAAAAAAAAAGTTAATTTAATAGTTATTTGACCAACTGATTTGAATTTTCCCTCTCCTTGATATTCCCAACTACTGAATACGTTTGGGCCTCAGTATCACATAGGCATGGCCCAGTTCCAATCTTCCCCATCTCACTAATTGGGCCTGCGTTGAGGCCCAGAGGTGGTAACAGCTCAACAAAATGACAGACTGTGTTTATAATATGTTGGGCCAAGTTCAAGATTCGAAGGCCTGAATGAACACTAAATCTGAGATTAATTTTGGCAACATAGGTTTTGGGCCTTCTAGTTAAGTAGCATACTTGAATTAAGAGGTTTACCTCTTGTTCAAGTGTGGACTTGAACTGGAGCCTAAATTCCTTGATCACTTTAAATAAATAGTTTTAGTAATATCAACTTATTAGTACCCTTTAGAGACAAACCTAGTGGAAAATCATAGTTTGCTCTAGGACGGCCTTTAAATAATTAAATGAGGTGAGCCACGCCAAATAAAACCCATAAATTGCGGGGCCCTCATTAAATGCTTAATTAAAAATGCTTAGAATTTGGGCGTGCCGTTTAGCGAATTCCACGGCCTCCCGCAAAGTTAATAACACGTTAGTCGCTATAGGCGCGCTTTTAAACAATCTTACCTTCCTAAATACGGGTGTGCATTTCATGTAACCCAAATCCAAATCCCAAAATGTTGAATAAGAATGTGTCGAGGATCCAGGTGCATTTCATGTGACGTGATCCAAAAACACGTTCTTAAACGACGTTCACTTTCTTAAAAAATTTAATTAAAAGCGGTAAATAATCTCTAAAATTGCACTATAGGATAACATGTATAAAAATCAGATTTCAGCCATTTATAATAATTTAAGCGACCATGCTAGAACCACGGGATCCGGGGGTGCCTAACACCTTCCCTCGGGTCAACAGAATTCCTTATTCAGAATTTCTGGTTCGCAGACTCCAATTGGGAAGTCGAAATTTTCCTCGATTTGGGATTCAAGTTAAACCGGTGACTTGAGACACCAAAAGCCAATCCTATCCCAAGTGGCGAATCTAAAAACAAATAAATAATCTCATTTCGAATAATGTCACTTTAAATGGAAAAACTCCCTTATACATTATCCTTCGGGGTATGTGTGTAAAAAGGAGGTATGACACGTTGAAGCATTTCTTTTTTAATAGACTTTACACGATGCAAATCCAGATTAATCGAACCAATAAACATCAAATACCTATAAAAAAAAATCATTTTTAAATTATACAACGTATAGCTTAGTCAGGTTTCCACGTGCTCCTAGGGGACAACAAATTTCTCCTTACTTCAATACCACAAACTCTCTATTTTTTTGCACTGCACTTTACACCACCTTTGCCCCTTTGACCATTTTTCCCTAGCTTACTGCTTCTCCACTTCTCTCCATCTTTTCTTCTTACACTATCTTAAATCCTTTTCATTTCCTCAACCCATTCAACGTAAGCTCTAGTAGTTGTCCTCCTCAAACAAAATAAAATTAAAGCATATAACAAGTGTGTTTTTTTCCTTCATTTTTTGGTCTGAAAAATGGTAATGGAAGGGATTCAAGAAGATATAGGTGAAGGAAATATACAATGTATAAACCATCCTTATAAAAACAGTTCACCAGGTGGAATCTGTGCATTTTGCCTTCAAGAAAAACTAGGAAAACTTGTTTCTTCCTCTTTTTCCTCTACCATTTTTCCTTCTTCTACTTCATCTGTTTCAACTCCTTCTTTTAGATCTGAATTTAATGGAACTTCAACTACAACTTCAGCCTTACAAATCCCAACAAATAACAAAACTACTACTGATGGTAATACTAACTATCATCCATATGACAACAACAATATGAGGAAATCAAGAATTCAGTTTTTGTTGAGTCAGAAAAAGAAGAATAGTAGTAATATTATGGCAAGTTCTGGTTCAGATTCTGGTATTGTTTTTAAGAGAAGTAAGTCAACTACAACCCCTAGAAATCATTTGCATTTCTTGGAAGCTGAAGATTATGGTATTCATAGAAAAGGGTTTTGGTCATTTCTTCATTACTCATCCTCGAAGCATTATTCTTCAGGTAAAGAAACTTAATCCTAGTTTAAAGACTATCTTTATCGATTAAATAAGTTAGAGACAGTACATTTTTATTTACTTGAGCATATCTTAACATTGGGTTTATCTTTTTTTATGGTCAAGCATGTGAAAATTTCTTTTTTTCATAAATGTATGACGGCGAGACTTGAATCCAGGTCGTCTTGTCTGACTGACATTGCAAGCCGAGCATCTATTTCTCGTGTATCGTTCCACACCGAGAATCTATTCTGATACCATATTGAAATGTATGACCATTTTATTGAAATGTCGTATGCCTCCTAGAATATATTGAAATCATTTGCATTTTATTGAATAATTAACCTAAATAGCGGTCTGTCCAACCGCTTGAGCTTAAAATAGCTGGTGGATATATGATTTATGTATAATTTATGTATAATCGATGTATAAGTGTTTATTAGTGTATAATTTATGTATACTGGCTAGAAAAATAAATAGTAAAACCAAACGGCTATTTGCGTAAAAATCCCTTTAATTATGTCTTCAACATGCTGCTCAAGCGCTGTTTGTTTTTCTTTACCATGGGCCAATGATGTGGAAATATTTTTTAATAAGGGGTGACGGTGAGACTTAACCTAGTACTTTTATTTGTCATCTAAACGCTTAAGTGTTACAAGTAATACGTTTTTATTTACTTAATTATGTTTTTTAACAGAGTCATCTCAGAATGGTTCCATAAAATCAAGGGAGAAAAAGAAAGAAGAGATTGTAGAAGTGGAAGAAAATGAGAGTCCTAATGAGTCAACATTTGACAGAAAAGTAGCAAGATCCAGATCAGTTGGTTGTGGAAGCAGAAGTTTTTCAGGTGATTTATTTGAGAAAATCTCAACTGGTTTTGGAGAATGTACTTTAAGAAGAATTGAGTCACAAAGAGAAGGAAAACCAAGATTTTCATCTGTTAATCATAAAGAAAGAGTCAATTGTGGAGGAATATTATCTTATTTGGTTTCTTCTGAAGAAAATTTGCATGGAAAATCTCATAATATTTCTAATGGAAGAAGTAAGAATTGGGGTTGGGCATTAGCAAGTCCAATGAGAGCTTTTAGTAAAACATCATCAAGTGGAAAAAGAGAAGACTCAAATAATAAGAATGCTACTCCTAATTTGGCTGCAATTCCTTCTTTGTTGACTGTGAGCAGCTAGTGAGAGACCAATGTCGTGCGGACTTTCCAAAATGCTGCCGCACTTGCGTCGGATCCTAAAAAAATACATTACTTTTGCAGGATTCGACACGCATCCAACGACATTTTCGTAGAGTCCGAGTAACATAGATTTTCCTACGTTGCACGGGACTCTCCAAATTGTTGCCGCACCCGTATCGGATGCTCCAAAAATACACTAGTTTTGCAGGATCCGACATGCATACAGCGACATTTTCGGAAAGTTTAAGTGACATGGATTTTCACTAAGTAACTACTGATATTATTACACAAATTTGCATTATTCTTGTCTAGAAACTCTGTTTGTTTATCAGGTTATATTAACTAATTTCTTTGTTATTAGAGCTCTCTTTTTTTGTCCCTTTGTAAGGTTGATGTTGAGTCCTGATGATTTTGCTGCCAATTGATTTGCTTTGGTTGGAGATTTTTCCTGTTGTTGGATGCAAGTTTTTTAAGTTTTGTAGGGAGAAATTCCCAAACTAAAAGGAGTTAATACTATTATTTATTTATTTATTTCTTTATGCTTCTTATTATGAGTTGAAACAATTGTAAGTATTTTCCAATAGAAAATTGTTGGATTTTGATTGAGAATGATGGAGCATCCCTGTAGAAAATTACAATCAATATTTTTTTGATAGTGGATGTGGAAATAATCTTTTACAACAATAGTGGATGGCCTATTTTAAATGTCCTTCTAACATATGGACATTCCTTCTAAAAAAAAATGGAAGAGTCAATTTCTTTCTCTTCGACGATACAATGCCTCACCTACTTTCTGCTACACATCTCTTTCGTTCGCTCTAGACTCACCCGTTCGTACCTCGACAATTTCATCGATATTTTTTATAACTTTGCTAACCAAAAATTAGATAAATAAAAAGAAATTACCTAGCGTCTTGTCGTACCTATCAAGATTTGAACTTAGTTATCTCTGTTAAAATTTGAATCATAATCTTTTATGATTTTCACTCACTCTATTAACTAAATAAAATCATAATATTTTATGATTTTTGCTCTTTTTATTGATTGTTAGGTCACACCATCGATTGTTGAATTATAGAAGCATTTTATCTCTAGTTGTCTCCATCCAGGAGTCTCACTAATTTATATGCATATCCTTTTTAGTTGGCCAAAAGCTAAAAGCTAAGCAAAAAAATTCATAAGAAACAAGTTGCTAATTAAGAGTATCTTCTAGCTATTTCACGTGCAAAGATTGGCAGAGACAACTAATCATTGTTAAACAAAAGGGGGATTTAGAATCATTTTCAAGTCTCAAGCTCCAAGTCAAAATACTATCACATGTTTGGTAGATGGAGACACATGCAAAAAGGTCTAAATCCAGTGGGCATATGACCCCAAAACTCTAGCTAGCTTAACTAATGCACACGAAAAAAATGCATATAATGACAAATTCGTGATATATAATCCTAAAATACCAAAAAATAAACTCGAAAGTCATGACGAATCGATGAGTATTGATCACCACGCCATTTCTTGTGGACCTAAAAGAATTCAGGTCAATTGGTGTCTGTATTAAAAAATAATACAAAGTCAATATGTTCGTGTTGCATGACCATGAAACGCCATAAAATGAATCCCAAAGTCATGGAAAAATAGTGAGTATCAGTCACTAGGCCATTTTCTATGGACCTATGAAATTTTAGGCCAATCTGAGTTAGTCAAAAGTATTTTACAAAATCAACATATACTAATTCATACGAAAAATGGATATAATCACAAATTCATGTTGCATCACCCTGAAAGGCCATAAAATCAACCTAAAACTCATGACAAAGCAATAAGTATTGGTCACTAGGCTAAGCAATAAGTACTTATACATATGAAAAAGTGGATATAATAACAAATTCATGTTGTATGACCCCGAAACGCCATAAAATAAAACCGAAAGTCATGGCGTAGCAATAAGTATTTGTCACTAGGCCGTTTTCTATGGACCTACAAAATTTCAAGCCTATTGAAGTCTGTCAAAAAAAAATCTACAAAAATCGGCATGTACAAATACACACGAAAAATTAATATAATCATAAATTCGTATTACATGACCCCGAAATGCCATAAAATAAACCCGAAATTTATGGCAAAATAATAAATATTGGTCAGTAGGTTGTTTTTTATGGTCCTAAATCACAAATTCGTGTTGCATGACCCGGAAACGCGATAAATGAACCCGAAATACAAAAAAGCGACGTTAGTCATGGCAAAGCAATGAGTATTGATCACTAGATATTTTCTATGAACCTACAAAATTTCGATCCAATCGGAGTAAACAAAAAGAAACTCTACATAATCAACATGTACTAATACATATGAAAAAATGGATATAATCACAAATTCGTGTTGCATGACCTTTAAACGCTATAAAATAAATCCGAAGAAGGCCCATAAAATGTTACGCGATTCGGAACTCGTCGTCCGAATTTATGAAGATGGCGTAGGCATTAGCACAAAAAAAAATTGAAAATCATCATAAATTCTTGTTTTATGGCTCTAAAATGCTAAAAAATGAGGTTTTGTCATGGCGAATCAATAAATATTGTTCATTAGGTCGTTTTTGGTGGGTCCACAAAATTTAGGAATTCAGATCCCGTCGCACGAATTTATGAAGATGGCATGGATATTAGCACACGAAAAATTTAAATCGTCTTGAATTCCTGTTTTATATCTCTAAAACGCCAAAAAATGAGGAAGGGTCATGGAGAAGCGATGACTACTGTTCGTTAGATCATTTTTGATGGTCCCGAAAATTTTTAGGAGATTCGAGGCCAGTTGCCTGAATTCATGTAAATGGCGTGGACTATATCACACGAAAATCTAGGAAGCGTCCTGAATTCCTATTTTATGGCCCTAAAATGCCAAAAAAAAGAGAAACACTCATGGTATATCGATGACTATTGTTCCTCAGGTCATTTTTAATGGGCCGACAAAATATTAGGTCATCCGGGTCCGGTCGCTGGGCCCAAGCAGATAGCGTGGGCTATAGCACACGAAAATCTGTGAATCGGGCGAAATTCTAGTTTATGGCCCTAAACCGCCAAAATATGAGGAACGATCATGGCGAGGCAATGACTATTGTTCCTTAGGTCGTTTTTGATGGTCCAACAAAGTTTTAGGCAATCCGGGTCCAATCGCTTCGGCCCATGTAGATGGCTTGGGTTATAGCATACAAGAATTTAGAAAAAGGGCGGAATTTCAGTTTTATGGTCCTAAAATGCCAAAAAATAAGGAACGCTGATGGAGAGGCGATGACTATTGTTCTTTAGGTCGTTTTTGATGGGCCGACAAAATTTTAGGCGATCCGGGTCAGGTCGCCCGGGCCCATGCAGATGGCGTGGGCTATAGCACACGAAAATTCGGGAATCAGGCGAGATTCCAGTTTTATGTCCCTAAAACGCTAAAAGATGAGGAGCGGTCATGGCGAGGCAACGACTATTATTCTTTAGGTCATTTTTGATGGGTCGACAAAACTTTAGGCGATTCGCGTCCGGTTGTCTAGGCCCAATCAGATGGCGTGGACTATAGCAGATGGGCGAAATCCAGTTTTATATCTATAAAATGCTAAAAACGAGTAACGGTCATGGTGAGGCAATGACTATTGTTTATTAGGTCATTTTTGATGGCCCAACAAAATTTTGGGCGATCCAGGTCCGAGCGCCCGGGCCTATTCAAGAGGCGTGGGCTATAGCACACGAGAATTTGAAAATCGGGCAAAATTCTAGTTTTATGACCCTAACACGCCAAAAGAGTAACAGTAATGGCAAGGCGGAGACTATTATTCCTTAGGTTGTTATTGATGGGCTGAAAAAAATTTAGGTGATCCGGGTCCGGGAGCCCGGACCCATGCAGTAGGCGTGGGATATAGCACATGAAAATCCGAAGTCGGGCGAAATTCAACTTTTATGGCCCTAAAACTAGGGGTGTTCAAAACCGAACCGAAACCGAAAACTGAACCAAAACCAAAGCTTAATGGCTTATTGGTATCGGGTTAACTGTTTAACGGATTGAAATTTTTTGATTAACGGCTTATCGGTTTGGGGGCGGATTATTCAATTTTCTTAACGGATAATCCGTTAACCCGTTAAGAATATATTAAATAATCAAAAACCCTTCTTCCTCTAGTACTCTATCAAAGTGAATTGGAATAAAAGAAAGCCAAATAAAAGGAGTCATCTAACTGTTACAAAAGACAGAATTTGTTGTCTGAAACAAGATAACAACACCAGTTACACTACTGCTTCATCAACTTTGCCAGGGTTTTAAGGCATCCTAGAATTCTAAGCATGACGAACATTTGTTTTAACAACGGCTAATTGGAAATCTTTTACCTGGACTAAGGCCAATGTGCATAAACATAAATAAGGTTCTAGACAGATGATTTACCCATCACGGTGTCTCTTTTGCTTCGTCCCTCTTAGTACGTCGACCACCTATTTAAACATATAGAGACTAAATTTTATTTTATTTTGATTGAATTAGGCCGATAAACCGCCCGATAAGAGCTAAACCGATACCAATCCGCCCGATATCTAATCGGATGGCTAGCGGATTAATACATTTAAAAGCCAATAACCGATAAGCTAAACTGTTAAGAGTAAATAACCGCCCAATCCGCCCGATAAGTATCCCTACCTAAAATGCCAGAAAATGACTAACAGTCATGGCAAGGCGGTGACTATTGTTCCTTAGACCGTTTTTGATAGGCCGACAAAATTTTAGGCGATCCGGGTCCGATCGCCTGAGCCCATGCAGGAGGCGTGGGCTATATCATATGAAATTTGACAACCAGGCAGAATTCCAGTTTTTTGCCATAAAACGCCAAACAATGAGTAACGGTCATGGCGAGGCAGCGACTTTTTTTCATAAGACGTTTTTGATGGGCTGGCAAAATTTTAGGTGATCCGGGTCTGGACGCTCGGACCCACACAGGAGGTGTGGCTATAGCACACAAAATTTGGGTATCAGGCAGAATTCTAGTTTTATGGCCCTAAAACGCCAAAAAATGAGTAACAGTCATAGTGAGGCGGTGACTATTGATCCTTAAGTCATTTTTGATGGGCCGGTAAAATTTTAGCTAATCCAGATCCGAGCGCCCGGGCCCATAAAGTAGGCGTGGCCTATTGCATACAAAAATATAGGACTCGGACGGAATTCCAGTTTTATGGCGCTAAAACGCAAAAAAAAAAAAAAAACGAGTAACGGTCATGGCGAGGCAGTGATTATTATTCCTTAGGTCGTTTTTTATGGGCCGGAAAAATTTTAGGCAATTCGGGTCCAAGCGCCTGGGCCCATGCAGGAGGTGTGGGTTATAGCACACGAAAATCTGAGAATCGAGTGGAATTCCAGTTTTATGACCCTAAAATGCAAAAAAACGAGTAACGGTCATAGCGAGACGGTGACTATTGTTCCTTCGATCTTTTTTTATGGGGCGAAAAAATTTTAGGTTGTCCGGGCCCATGCAAGAGGCGTGGGCTATAGCTCACGAATATTTAAATTTTGGCGGTATTCCAGTTTT